CCTGCTGGCGGAGAGTGAATCTGCGTCTCATTCAGCTCATCCGCTGTTTCATGCAGATATTTTTATGTATAGTTTTACAAAACTGAAGTCAAACCATTCTGTTTTTGCTTCAAATTTCGAAATTATACAATGTAATTTAGATTAAAACGGCTCAAGTTGCATGTATGCAACATCTTTGTTTGGATCATGATTAAAATGCAGTGGTTGCCTCATTTTAAATGGAAAGAGCACAGACAAAGCCTTATTTTTTTATATGAAGAGATTTATTTTATTTGTGTTATTTATTTTATTTGGGGCTTGTTTTAAAATTTCAATGTAGTTTTGTTATTTACATTTGCATTATATTTCATTTTTGTCATTTAGCAGACGCTTTTGTCCAAAGCGACTTACAAATGAGGACAATAGAAGCAATCAAAACCAACAAAAGAGCAATAATATGCAAGTGCTTTATTAGTATATTATTATAGTGTTATATTTTAATTTCACAAAGAAATGTGCAGCATTTTGTCCAAGCAATAATAAAAGGACACATTTAATTTATAATTTGTCTTAAATCTCATTTTGTTAAAAAACAATCGTGAATCGAATCGAATCGTGAAATCAAAATCGTGAATCGAATCGAATCGTGAGTTGAGTGAATCGTTACATCCCTACCCTCCAGATACCATGAATTACACTAATTACCTGTCAGTACACTGCGAGTAATCAATCTTGTTTGAACCTCACAGCGGACGTCTCTTGTGTTCCACCAATACTCTGACAGAACTTTAGCCACATGACCTCATACACCAACTATATGCTCAGTAGTATGCCTGGAGCTGGGGGTTTATCTCAATGTAAACAGGAATAGCCCACTTACGACACAAACTCTGGAATCTGTTCTGCGGTTTTGAATCGCCCGGACCATACCAGCATCTTTTTATCCCATTCTGATGGGCGGTAACCTGGTACTTTAAACCCAAGCCGTTGGGCTAGAGAAAAAAAGGAGAGAGGAAACACAAGGTGAAGAAAAGTTAGTCCACTGGAAAACGATGAAATTCCCTTTAGTACAATCTGATCCTTGTAGAACAGCCAAAACAGGAACCTATCTTGCTCTACATCATAATTACGCTGTTGCACGTTATGTGCATGGTTTTTTCTTCCTTTGAATTGTAAGCGTTCTAGGGAACAAAACGTGCTGGAATGATGTGCAGTGTCACGTCAAGTGCTGAATCATGTCATATGCCCCACCTCCTAATGCAGGTAGGTAGAAGTGAATGGATATTTGAGTACTGACCCCAACCCTTTCAAAGCTTCCAACATATTTTAACAAGCTGTTGAAAATTGAGCTGAAAAGGCTTTAGCTTCCCGACATGTGTGTGAGACAAACTTAAATATTAATGTCTAATCATGCTGAATGCGCACACACGTTCAGACACACCACATTTTCCGAGTGACTAGAACTGTATATGGAAAAATACAGAGCAGAAAATTGTTCAGTTCTGTTTTGTTGTTCGTTTTTATTTTATTGTATTTTTGCGAGGGTTAGAATCTCTTAATACCGAAGGTGCCATAATCCTCATTTTAAAAAAAGGAGGTGGAAAATGACAAACAAATGAACTTTAAAAGAATTTATCAACAAATTTGAACTTAAGATTTACTGGGTATTAGCTCAAGATATGATGATTGTTGTCTTATTTTAATGTCAGATTCTTCCCAAGAGATGACCAGCTCTTTGTGTTCAATACTGCTGTCGTATTGAGATTGTGTAACTGTTCTCTGTTACTCCATTTGCATAAATGCCGTTTCATGAAGCTCGGTGGTCAAGTGATTTAATTTGAGATCTGTATAGGACTCTTATTCATCATTGCTTCATTCACAGAAGGGCCAGTCATTATGCTTTCATTCTTCATGTACGGTTAACCTTTTTGACTATGCTCTAATTTTTTCCTATGTAATTTAGTGCTAATAGCTATGCTATTTTACTTGTGGTTGGTCATTTTAATCAAGCACAGACAATAAACATCAGCTTTAGGACAACCTTAAAGGAATAGTGCACCCAAAAATTTAAATTAGCTGAAAATGTACTCATCCTCGGGTCCTCCCAAGATGTAGAGGAGTTTGTTCATCTGAACAGATTTGGAGAAATTCAGCATTACCTCGTTTGCTCAATAATGGATCCTCTGCAGTGAATGGGTGCCGTCAGAATGAGTCCAAACAGCTGATAAAAACATCACAATAATCCACAAGTAACTCCATCCTTTGAATTGTAAGCGTTCTAGGGAACAAAACGTGCTGGAATGATGTGCAGTGTCACGTCAAGTGCTGAATCATGTCATATGCCCCACCTCCTAATGCAGGTAGGTAGAAGTGAATGGATATTTGAGTACTGACCCTGGGGTGCGGATGCCCCCTCTTGAGGCTTGCTGCACAGTCTTCTGCTCCCTGTGGTCATCACACCTCTCCTCACCTGCCCTATAGGAGGAAAGGGACCATAAAGTGAGAATTCTGACATTTACTCACCCTCATGTTTTAAATGGTTTGACTTCATTCATTCCTTAGAGGAACATTTTTAGCTGAACTGTCCCTTTAAGTCTGTCATGGTGATAAATTATGGCTGCATGCTGATGATGTTTATACAATACAAATGTGTTGGTTCCTGTTATATTTGCACTGATATAAGTTTAAAACATTGTTTGTTTGTTTGTTTTTACCAGATGAGGAATTTAGTGCTAATAGCTATGCTATTTTACTTGTGGTTGGTCATTTTAATCAAGCACAGACAATAAACATCAGCTTTAGGACAACCTTAAAGGAATAGTGCACCCAAAAATTTAAATTAGCTGAAAATGTACTCATCCTCGGGTCCTCCCAAGATGTAGAGGAGTTTGTTCATCTGAACAGATTTGGAGAAATTCAGCATTACCTCGTTTGCTCAATAATGGATCCTCTGCAGTGAATGGGTGCCGTCAGAATGAGTCCAAACAGCTGATAAAAACATCACAATAATCCACAAGTAACTCCAATCCATCAATTAACATCTTGTGAATTGAAAAGCTGCGTGTTTGTAAGAAACCAATCCATTATTATCCATAATAACTTCCTCCAGTAAAAAGGTCCATCACTGTTATCCTCTCGCATCAGAATCCACTGAACTGTTATGGACAGTTTTTGCTTACACAGTGTGTGCATATTTCTCTTCTGATTCAGACAAGACTTTTTCAGCAGAAAAAGAAAAATGATGAATAGAGGACTTGTATGAATTGGATTTGTTTCTTACAAACACAGCTTTTTGCTTCTTAAGATGTCAGTTGATGGATTGGAGTGATGGCTGATAAAATTCTATACTATTTATATTACTTTTAAAAATCAGCTATAAAAACAAAGTAGTTCATAATAAGACCTTAAAGATAACAGTAAAGACAAATAACAGTGGAACACGATTTTATTTTTTCTTTATATATATGTATATATATATATATATAAAATAATCACACAGGGAAAATCTCACATCTTTATTTTATACACTACTCTAAAAATCTGTTTACTATGTGAAGGAAAATCTACCACCTCCACCAGAGTTCCCATGGTGTGTGGCGTTTGACATTAAATAACTGGCTGTTGTATGATGCAAGCTGACACAGAGACATGGGCCTTGATGGAGCTCAGATGGATGCATCTCACTGGGCTTTCTCTGCAAGTGCATCGGCCGCCTCCTTTTCTCTCTGTGCTTCCTCTCTCCATTGAGCCTTTTTCTCCATGTTACGAGAGGTCAGATTTTCATGCCGACCTGCCGCCTGCCATTGAAGGCATTGGTTAAAGGATAGGAGAGCCATATATTACCCAAGCTTATCATTTATACAGCAGCACTCTTTTTATTACCCGTTTCCCAGAGACAGCCGTAGCAACGCACGCTATGATGGTCAGTGCCATCATCACATAGCAGGCCTTCACACGCACTCTGTTCCTGGCAGCATCAATCATCTCAAATCTGAAAACAGTGCAGTATTTTCATAAGTAAAGAAAACACTATAAAATAGTACATGAAGATATGCTTAAACAAGTCAAGTTTAATTGTACAAAGAAAACATTTTAAAGAGTAGGGCAGGGTATCGGCACAGATTTTCTAATTCGATTTAAAGGCACAATATGTAATTTTCGCCGCTAGAGGGCGTGTATTCAAAATAGACAAAGGCGTAGTTTGATGACGCCGTGACTGAGTGTGGAATCATGGGAGTTGTCGTCTTCATCCCCACAGCCGATGCAATCCGACGGGACTCGGGCAGAAATCATGTTCATGGATGAGCTAATGTTTATTAACGTAGTAGAATGAAGCAGGGTGAGGCTGACGAGTACGAGTACAGGAGACCAGTATCGGGCCCGATACCGATACCAGTATCGGTATCGGTGCATCCCTAATTTAAATGTTTGATGAAGCTATACTCAAATGACGGTTTCCGCCAAAATACCACAACCATTCCACCAAAAATAAAAATACAGTACAAATGTTTTTGATGACATACAGAGCAATACCACAGCTTTTAGTAATAATTATTTTTATAATATTCATAACACACACACTTGCTCTACATCATAATTACGCTGTTGCACGTTATGTGCATGGTTTTTTCTTCCTTTGAATTGTAAGCGTTCTAGGGAACAAAACGTGCTGGAATGATGTGCAGTGTCACGTCAAGTGCTGAATCATGTCATATGCCCCACCTCCTAATGCAGGTAGGTAGAAGTGAATGGATATTTGAGTACTGACCCTGGGGTGCGGATGCCCCCTCTTGAGGCTTGCTGCACAGTCTTCTGCTCCCTGTGGTCATCACACCTCTCCTCACCTGCCCTATAGGAGGAAAGGGACCATAAAGTGAGAATTCTGACATTTACTCACCCTCATGTTTTAAATGGTTTGACTTCATTCATTCCTTAGAGGAACATTTTTAGCTGAACTGTCCCTTTAAGTCTGTCATGGTGATAAATTATGGCTGCATGCTGATGATGTTTATACAATACAAATGTGTTGGTTCCTGTTATATTTGCACTGATATAAGTTTAAAACATTGTTTGTTTGTTTGTTTTTACCAGATGAGGAAATGACATTGCATTTAAATGTTTGATGAAGCTATACTCAAATGACGGTTTCCGCCAAAATACCAGAACCATTCCACCCACCCACCAAACAAGAGAAAACGTATCTCAAACCCCGTTGCACATCGTTTTCAGGAAACATATCGTTCAAACCGGAAACCGTAGGAAAACGTTGCGCACCGGTTTGAGCTTGAACTTGCCCCAGGCATTACAGGCATGATGAAATGAAAATGAGACCAATCAGACCAATCACCGCAGATTAGCATCAAGCAAAGGAGGGGTTTGGAAAAATTAATCGTTGAGCGAATCGTTTGGGAGTCGTTGAGCAAGTATGGTGTGCTCTTATTATTTCAGTTATTTTGCCTTTAATGTAAATAAACATGTGCAAACAATATACTTGCTCTTTTTGACACACCCACCAAACAAGAGAAAACGTATCTCAAACCCCGTTGCACACCGTTTTCAGGAAACATGTCGTTCAAAGCTTGAACTTGCCCCAGGCATTACAGGCATGATGAAATGAAAATGAAACCAATCAGACCAATCACCGCAGATTAGCGTCAAGCAAAGGAGGGGATATATATATTGTGATGCATACAATAGATTATATTTTAAGATATTAATAATGACTCGATAAGATATATAATAATATATAACTCCATTATGATTTATAATTTTACCGGAAATTATACTATGGTAAATTTTTGTAAGAGAGATCAGATGGAGTTGTAAAATCATTATAACAAGAGGTGTGGCTCATTTCACGTATTAGATAAAACATCAATTAAAAGTAATAAAATCCATGCAGCAACCTTATGAATTAAATCATGCCAGTCTCGAAAAGTTATGCTGCGTCACAATGTATTTATAATCATGTTTTCACTTCTAGTTTGATGCCGACAAGTGTTTGAAGAATGCCCACTGTTCCCAGTGCCAAAGCTTATCATGTGCTGCCTGGCTGCGTCTAAATAAAACAAATATCACACGGAAAATACTGACCTATTAAAGTGCCAAAGGCGGCGCGAGGCCCTCTGATCATGTTGAAGATCATGACTTCTGAAGAAAATATGATGAAAGAAAAAGACAATTTTTAAGCCATGAAATCGTGCCCAAATTACAATGCCAGGTTTACTTCCTCTAACCTTAAAGTTAGTTCGAGTTCATATGCGAGCGCAGAGCTGGTGTAACCCTGAAGGACCCTGAGCAGCCAAAACAGCTCAGCTCACGAGCGCCTGTTAAGGACATAAGTTACGTATGTAAAATGAGCGTATCACGAATGTAGTTGTAAAATGGTGAATTTATTTTGATGTTAATTACATTGTGCCAGCTGTCTCTTTAATACCGCTTGGTTTATATACATGTTGCTGCTGATTGGGCTGACATTTTTTACACACCCACCAAACAAGAGAAAACGTATCTCAGACCCCGTTGCACACCGTTTTCAGGAAACATGTCGTTCAAAGCTTGAACTTGCCCCAGGCATTACAGGCATGATGAAATGAAAATGAGACCAATCAGACCAATCACCGCAGATTAGCATCAAGCAAAGGAGGGGTTTGAAAAAATTAATCGTTGAGCGAATCGTTTGGGAGTCGTTGAGCAAGTATGGTAAAATAAAAGTGTTTTTTGACCTTGCATGCATGTCAACCTGTTGTTGGGGACTCCCAAAACCAAAATATGAACCTTTCATTACCCATAATTGGGGCACTTTAAAAGAACTAGCTCATTGGAGTAATTTCTTCTTGAATCGGACTTGACTGGTAGCGCTGTGTGCTTTTGATCTCGATAGAAAGACGTTTCTTGTCGTTATTTAGAGGTACAAGTTTTTTTTTTTTTTCAACAGACTGAGAACCCACAAAACAATTCATGTAATACAATTTCCTTTGCTGTGGCGCTAAAGATTCAACAATGGAGGAGCTACGCTGCTCCAAAGCAACGCAAGAAACACAGGGAACTTTCGTTCTTGGTACATTACGAAAATATTAGTTTTACATATTAAACGCAGAGAGAAAGCGTTTAAACGCTCGTTCACACCAAGAACGATTAACTATATTATACTATTATAGACTATAACGATAAAGCTTTAAAAATCAATCTAATTTAATGAGAATAGGCAAGTCCACACAAAAGCTATAACGTTAATGATATGGAGGAAAGATATTAAAATCACTTTCAGAACTAATTTTCCATCTTATGAACGATAAAAACACTGACAGCCAATTAGAATTAACCCAGAATTATCCAGGCTTGAGCACTTAAAGACAGCCTGCAGCACCTTTATACTAAACAATTATGCTAACATAGTTATTGTTCTTAATGTGAACAGGCTTTAACAATATGTTTACACACAGCTACTGAAATTTAATCGTCCAGTAAAATATGATTGATCTTTGGGATTTTAAGGATTGACACTTTGATTATACAAAGATACCGATACCAGTATCGGTATCGGTGCATCCCTAATTTAAATGTTTGATGAAGCTATACTCAAATGACGGTTTCCGCCAAAATACCAGAACCATTCCACCAAAATAAAAATACAGTACAAATGTTTTTGATGACATACAGAGCAATACCACAGCTTTTAGTAATAATTATTTTTATAATATTCATAACACACACACTCACAACTGAATTATTTTTCCGTAAAATTTTATATACATATATACGCACACTACCAGTCAAAAAGTTTATAACAATAGGATTGTTAATGTTTTTAAAGAAGTCTCTTCTGCTCACCAAGCCTGCATTTATTTGATCCAAAGTACAGCAAAAACAGTAACATTTTGAAAAAAAATGTTACCATTTAAAATGACTGTTTTCTATTTTAATATAGTTTAAATGTTCTTAATGTGAACAGGCTTTAACAATATGTTTACCACAGCTACTTGAAATTTAATCGTCCAGTAAAATATGATTGATCTTTGGGATTTTAAGGATTGACACTTTGATTATACAAATGAATATCGCAATCAATCATTAAATCAGTATTTTTACTCATCCCTAGTAAAAAAGCAACAGTATGATGGGTCACAGAGGACATGCCTGCCATGTTTTGCATCTAACATCACAAACAGAGCCCACTCTGATCTCCCTCCAGTAGGGATGTAACGATTAACCGCGAGCCGGTTGGAAATCGATTTAAATATGTGACGATTCAAATCGGTTGAGATGCTAAACCAATCGCGATTCATTTAGGTGTAGGAGTTTATAAGAATCCATGTCTGAGGGGAACTTACTGTCTTTAGAAAAGTTTAGATGGTATTATTTTCGTTTCCTCTTGCCTCTGTATAATGCATATTAAAGTTCATAAGTGCAGCACTGCTTTGTTTACAGCGGAAACCA